AAAAGAAGGTATTTTATTAACATGAAAAGCTTTTTGAAAAGTAAAGAGACGCAAAAGAGAAATTCACCTCATTGAAAAAGGACGGTGCTTGAAGTAAGACCAGCCGATCAAGAATCAAAGATTAATAAAACTATGGATTATTGTAAGTTTTACATAAAATAAAAATGAAGATTAATGCAGTAAAAGCATACGAAAGAGAAAACAATAAATAAAATCTCAATACAATATTTTCAATTCATAAACTTGACTAATAATCCATAATAAAGAAGAAGCCAATAAATAGAATCCCACGAAGGTCTAATTAAATAACTTACAAAAAAATGATAATTAAATATATTTCCTACCAAATAAACGACTAGAATAATTAAATAACTTTATTAACAAATCTATGACTAAAATACTAACAATAAATACAAAGGATAAATAACTAAATTAAAGATCCTAAATACCGTGTTTGTCTTCATCTCTATCACTTCGCCTCTCGAAAAGGATTCGAACTCAATTTCGATGCAATCTCGTCTCTACATCATATCGGCCCAACCTCTTCCATTTAACACCCAATTGATCTAGAGCCTTCAACCTATTAATTTTAGTACCAATAACATATTTCATCACAAAGAACATGTGAGATTGTGTATTCGCAATATATGGTTGGAACTTGTACATAATCCATGTCGTTGAAATTGTGAGCAAAATGCTCAGCATTAGCTGCTTCCTTGGTGTAGTCAATTCCTCGTCATCAAAATGAGGTAGACCTTTATATTTGGTTGACCCTTGTCATCCAAAAGAGGCGGAACCTCATATTCTGTCGACCCCACGTCATAAAAAAGAGGTGGACCTTCATATTTGGGCGACCCCTCGTCATCAAAAAAAGGCAGACCCTCATACTCGGTCAACCCCTCGTCATCCAAGAACACAGCTGCTTCCAAACCGCTAGAGAATTTCGAGATCTCGATCCGAAAAGAAGCCTCCTATCTCCAATTGTCGGCGAAGTAGTCCTCGTCCCATGTCGCCATATTACCAAAAGGATGTACCTCGGATATGGTGATGCCATAGCCACCGTCACCGATAGACGATTCAGGCTATCGGGATCCAGACGCCTCGCGTGTACCCCGACTACGTCTACCGTTCTTTCCCCCGCATTCGCCACGTCCTCCGTCCTCTGTGCGGTTCGATTGCTTAGCCAACCAGAAGTCCTCAATTCCCGCAGTCAGATCTGCAATTTGACGACCAAAGACCGCGGTCAGATTCACGTCTTGTCCCCTCAACGCTTCAATGGCGGCGTCAGACATGTCGTTTGCAGTATCATTCCTCTTCGGCGGCATCGTGAGTCGTTCTGATCTGCAATTTGACGACCGAAGCCCGCGGTCAGATCCGCGTCCTATCGCCCCAACGCTTCAATGGCGGCGTCAAACATGTGGTCTGCAGTATCATTCATCTTCAACGACATCATGAATCGTTCTGATATCTGAATACCAACTGACGTATAAAAGGGAAAAATAATAGATAAAATCTCAAGACAATATTTTTAATTCATAAACTTGATAATTCTCCATAATGAAGAAGAAGCCAATAAATATAATCTCACAAATTAAAGCTCTAATTAAATAACTTGCGTAACAAGAAAATGATAGTTAAATATATTTCCTAACAAATAAAAAATTAAATTAATTAAATAATTTTATTAACAAATGTACAACTAGAATACTAACAATAAAAAAAATGAATAAACAACTAAATTAAATATCTCAAACATATGCTTGTCCTCATCTTCATAAAAAAATCCACATTATAATTTTTGATTTTATTTAATTCACTCAATTATTCATTTAAACATAATAAATACCCAAAGTGCACTTAATAACGAAAATCAGACTTGTGGGTCCCAATCTAGAACCTCAATGAAAATTATTTATGGCATTAGCCGCCCTATACGACTTTCATTGTCATCTTTCCACCACTCAAAAGGCATAGGCCAATTTTATAATCTTCCTACTTTTTCATTTTTCCTATTTTATTTATTTATTCTAAAAGGCAATTTTTTACTAAAGAGATTATAATAATTTATAAAACCGAAAAGAATCATAAAATTGACCTTGGGCGAAGAGAATCTTAGGATGTTTGTTTAATGGGCCATGAGGCCCGTAATTTTTAATAAGAGCGGTAAGTTCGGTCCATCTTTTCGGAATCATTAGCAGGTTATATAATCCATGAATATGATTTGGCAATGTAAGCTTCAATGGGTAAGCTTTTTACTCGTCTAACTACTTTATTACTAAGTTCGGCCCATCTTTTATGAGCCGCCATATAGTCCATGAATATGAATTGGCAATGTAACAACAATGAGGCTTTTACTCGTTTACCTGCTTGTGTAACTAGTTCATTTGCAGCATGCACAACAGCTGTTTGTAGAAAGTCCTCAACGAAAGCTGATTTTTTATTTTCTTCTTCTTATTATTTAAACAATATATAACAGTTACTACATTTTCTTCTCAGGTGTGATTTGTGAATATGGGTGCCCAAATTCTGCCTAAAGCCTTTGTTGTGCCCAAATGTTCAGGTACTTGCAGCACATTGGCATAATTAGATATTTTATTTTTCATGTTATGAAATGCATTGAAGCCTGGAGGTGATAAATATAGAACTTGGGGTAGATCATAAATGAGAGTTCGGATAGAAAAAGGACACGTTAGAGTTGACTTAGTAGGACGAAGACCGAGTACATGACGTGCGCTTTCAGCATGGCTACACATGATGATGGTGACGTTAGTCTTGACGGGCAAGTGGTGGCCAAGAAAGAGACTTTCCGGTATTTAAAATCGATGCTACAAAAGGATGGCGGCATTGATGTTGATGTTAGACATAGAATTGCAGCCGGTTGGTTGAAATGACGTCAAGCTTCGGGCGTTCTCTGTGATAAGAGGGTGCCACAAAGGCTAAACGTTAAGTTCTATAGGGCGACAATTCGCCCGACGATGCTATACGGTGCTGAATGTTGGCCTACAAAAAGGCAACATGTCCAACAACTAAGTGTACCAGAGATGCGTATGTTGCGTTGGTTTTGCGGGCACACAAGAAGGGATCCGGAATGAGGATATTCGAGATAGGGTCGGAGTGGCTCCAATTGAGGAGAAATTGGTTCAACATCGGCTGAGGTGGTTCGGACATGTCCAACGGAGGCCTCCTGATGCACCGGTGCGTAGGGGAGTTCTACAGCAGGTCGATGATGTAAAGATGATGTAAAGAGAGGTAGAGGTCGGCCTAAACTCACTTGGGAAGAGTCGGTTAAGAGAGACCTTAAAGATTGAAATATCTCCAAAGATTTAGCGGTGAATAGGAGCGCTTGGAGGCTAGCAATCAACGTGCCTTTTGCTCCTTTCTCTTTTGTTCCATTCTCTTCCTTTTGTTTTGAGCCCTTTTTTGTTTCTCTTACCATTGGTTCTCTTGGGTTTCATCTCTAGCATACTCCAACTTGCTTGGGACTAAAAGGCTATGTTATTGTTGTTGTGGATAGAAAAAGGAACAATGCTATGATGAGTTTTAGTTCAAAGATTTGAATCTTTGCAGTTTCTACTTATATATTTTATTTCAAGAACGTGTGTTATATATGGTATGCAATTCGATGTGGTTTTGTTCCTTTTCTTTTTTTCTTTTTTTATTTTTCTTTTAAAAATGATCAATACGGTATGCAATTCGATGTGGTTTTGTTCCTTTTCTTTTTTTCTTTTTTTATTTTTCTTTTAAAAATGATCAATACTGCTCGAACTCGAGACCTGTTAGTCCTAAGTGAAGAGTGCTACCAACTGAGCTACCCCTTCTCGTCTGTTGCCTTTCTTTATTGTGGAAATTTTTTGGTCTGGTATTTTTCTACACAGCACACAGGTTGGGTTTTCAGTTTTTCAGGGTTCGGTTTCGATTCGATTTTTTTTCTATGTTGCATTGAGATTAAGTTATTTTCATTTATAAGTTGGGTTTTTGTGGTTTGGTATGGTTTTTCACCGAACCACACAGTTGCTCACCTCTAGAATTTGAGTGTGAAATCTTATATACTTATTCAGTAGCCATTAGTTTTGCTTGGTTCTATGTTTTTTTCATGCAGCATTTATGATTATTACGAAATTTCGAGACAACAAGCCATTGGGGTTTCTCGATTTTTTAAAAATAGGAATGTAATAATTAAAAGAACGAATCTTTCCACCTGATACGCAGGTTTACAGCCTGAGGGTTCGAATTCACTTACAAACCAAAGCTTTCTGAACACGAAAACAAAACATGCTTCAAACTGGTCACTAAAAGTATCTGCTGCTAATGAGGACCTTAAAGAAAATAAGCCTTTAATTAAGATGTGTGGGGTCACATCACCTCAAGATGCAGCTCTAGCAGCAAAAGCCGGGGCAGATTTCATAGGTATGATTATTTGGCCAAACTCGAAAAGGTCCATTTCACTTTCGATCGCAAGAGAAATCTCAAAAGTGGCCCGGAAAAATGGGGCAGAGCCCGTTGGAGTGTTCGTGGATGATGATGCTGAAACAATATTACGGGCTGCTAATGAAGCCGAGCTCGAATATGTGCAGGTTATAAATAATACTTTTTTGCATGCATTAAGTAGTTTTCTATTTTAGTTTCTATAATAAAGGTATCGTTTTGTTTTTGTTCTTGTTTGGGCAATGTAGCTCCATGGGAATGGTTCGCGAGACGCTATTGAGATCGTGGTGAAAGAAAACCGAGTTATTTATGTTCTTCATGCGAATGAAAATGGGGTTCTTTTGAATGCTGTTTCGGATGTAGAATGCTCTCGAGCTGATTGGATTCTTGTTGATAGTGCTCAAGGTGGCAGGTACACGTTTCTTGAAAAGCTGTCAATTTTTTCCGATTTTGATTTGAGGTTTGGAGGATTTACCAAAAAATCCCACAAAAGATTTTTTTTTTTTTTTTTGAAAATTTTCTGGGTATTCCTGCAAATGTTGTGTCACTGCAGAAAAAGCTATGTAGGGAAAACTGTCTAGAAACACAAATATTTACCCATCTTTCTATCTATTTGAAATATTTGCAGTGGTAAAGGGTTTAATTGGTCTAAATTCAAGCTGCCGCCTATTAAGAGCAAACAGGGATGGCTATTAGCTGGAGGGATTAAGCCCGAGAACGTGTGTGATGCTCTTTCGACTCTAAAACCGACAGGGATTGATGTAAGTAGCGGCATTTGTGGCCCAGATGGAATACGAAAGGATGAATCTCGTATAATGTCTTTCATGGATGCAGTTAAATCTGTTCACTATTGACCGATAGCAGTGAATTAATGTCGTATAAACAATGTGGTAAAAAGAAATACTAATATTATCAGCATTCAGCTTTGATTCTCTTTGAACATGTACCTGAAGTTCTATTATATGAGACTTTTTTATTCTTCTCATGAGACTGCGAGATTTAAGGGAGAGAAAGAGAAGCTTGCAAAGCACTATTTTAAATATGTATCATAAAGAAAAATGTCATCTTTTTTTTCCTCTTGTGGCGAGTGGTATGAATAAAACTAAAATCTTGATAAACTGAAATATTTTGACTGTTTAAACCATTACAACCAATATGGAGATGTTTTGCCTCAGACCACTCTCAAATGAAGCATAATTATCTTGCACTCTCAAATGAAGCATAACCATCTTGCAAGAGTTTTCACATCTTAAGGATCTCTTTTAAGGGCAAGCTCTCATACTTCTGTCAGATGGATCTTTTCATTAACGTCGATTGTAGCTCCTTCCCGCAGCTCGTTTTTCATCCAAAATCTTAACGATCAGCTGCTGCAAGTAACGTCACAGTCAATGTGTCACTAATCAAAGGAGATGAACAACAGCTGGATGCTATCAGGTCATCTTCAACTAAGGCATCTCTGTAGATAAAATGTAGCATGCCTGCAACACAAAATGTGGAAAAGAATAAGAAATTCATTTGACAATCAATCTAGTGGATGACACTGCATAACTTGAGTTTAACTAAGAAAGAACCAGTTAAAAAATGTGATGGCTTTTCTATTCCTAAACTAACATGAGCAGATAAAAATGCACTCTACTAACCTTAAAAACTTTGGGTTCCATTTCTGATACTATAATTTCTTGTTCAGCACTATCCATTTCTTCAAAAAGTTCAGATCGAAGTATAGGGGAACCCCTTTGAAGATTGAAAGTCCAAGGATAAATTGCGTTCGTCGCCCGTCGACTGGGTATGGCTCGTCAATTTCGCCCGCCGTCGAAGGAGAAGTCGATTGATTTCGGTATCGGGCGACCCTGAAACTGAGCTTCGCCTTCACTTCTGGTATGGCTCGTCAATTGCGTCTGTTGTCCGTCGGCCTGGTATGACTCATGAATTTCGTCTGCCGTAGAAGGCGAAGCCGATTGATTTTGTTATTGGGCTCAATTCAATTTCGCCGTCTTCTTTTTCAGAGAAAAATAAGTCGGGGACAAGAAAGAAAAATAACTTATAAATATGGAGTTGTAGGAGAGAATAATTGATGATGTGTACGTGCCNAAATCATATCAACATATCTCACCATGTCACCAAGGCCAAGCATCATATAGTCCGAAACATTGTTCGCTGGGACCCCACCTCCCAACATATTCCTAGGAAAAACAATCTTAACCGGAAGCTCGAGCTTTTTCGTAATCATCCCCAATCCAGGAAGGCTCAAGCTATCTGCCACCGTATGAACAGGATTAGACGCTTGTTGGGTTGCAACCGAGACCATCACATTCTCCCCGAAAAACCTCTCCGAATAAAAAACCCAAAATATATCGTATAAAAACAGACAAAAAAGCAGCATGGCGCAAATTTTGATATTCGGCAACCGAACATGGCTCACAAAAGCCACACAAAGGGAAATACCCAACAAATTGTTCAATATCCAATGACCTGTCACCAGCCATGACACCACAAATCCAATGCATGTAACGAGTAAAAGTGTTTGGCTTCTCGTGACCGATTTTGTGCAGCACCGTGACAGATAAGGGTCAGGCAGCCCGAATCTGGACCTGATTTGAGCCACATACGGTGAGAGGCAAAAGTACAGAGCTGATGTCGAGGCAACTGCTGTGAAGGCTGTGAGGAGCTGAGAGACAGAAGGGAATAGGTAGAACATGAGAAGCAAGCTGAAAGAGCTCATTATGGGAATCATTAGTGCCTGCGAACGGTCTAAGGTGATGGAAGCTTCCGAAAGGTCACGGTTTCTTTCCATTTCCTTCCCATAGTTTAGGGCTCGAGAGGCCGAGGCGTATGAAACTAATACAGCAGTTAGGAAAAGAGTGATTGAGGAGGGTTCTAGTAAATAGACTAGCTTCCATAATGGCTCCATACAGAAATAAAATACAGATTTTTTTTTTTTCTTTTATGCAATTGTTGAGTCAAGGTTGGAGCCGAATTTTATTCCTTTGGAGATGACAAGAACTAAAATGTGGAGTGAAACTATTCCGTGCCCTGCATTTGATAAGAAAACCCCTACAAAAGATTAGAAAGCATACATAAGAATTTGTGCTAACCTAAACTGTGCTCATAAGCTGTAGCTTCGCACTAGAATACTGTATGCAGTAATACATTCGATTTAATCAATATGACAATATGAATTGCAAAGATACTAACTTTATCCTATTATTCTGTCAATAGCCATGAGAGTATTTTTCTGAATCAATAACCCATTTCCACACCATAAATTTTCACTTCAGCTAAGCAACATTTTTCACAAACAAATCCTAATAAAACGACAAAGGGAAATCCTACCTGAGCTTCAATTTCAATAACAATTATACTTGGTTAAATAATCAAACAGCAAGACACAAAACTACAAATAAAAATTGAATAGAAGAACATAAACGTGAGAAAAACACAGAAAAAGGGAAAATAAAAAAAGGGGGGAAAAACAAACAGACCCATTTGGCCATCATGAGTATACATCAATTTCGTGAAAGGAATAAGAAAAAGTCACCAAATTGACAACGAGTTGACTCAACACCCATCAATATCATGAACTCAAAATCACATAGATTTCATAGTTTTTGGTAGAATTGAAGGGGAAAAGGGTCGATTAAACTCAAATATGCATAAAATACCGATCAAATGATTAAAAATATTCATCGAATTTTACCTTTTGACTGTTTAGAAAGCCAAGCGAAGGCTTCTCACGGTGAGGGTTGAGTTCTCACTCAGTCAAGGGAAAGCTGTGAGATTCACAATTGAGCAATCCCAAAATTTGTTTTTATATTATTATAATTCAATAATTTACTAATTTTTTGAAAATACAAATTGGGCCTTGATATTTTATTCATTCGGCCCTTTGAACGTACAGCACAGCTCAAAGATTTGGTGATAGCTTAATATAGACACATTAGGGCCCATTAGATATGCTACTGAACAAACAAAAGAAGTGAAAAATAGAACAATCATATTTTTTTAAGTCAAACTAGTTAATAGTTATAGACTATATCAAATTGGATTTAATTTTATTGGACAAGTGAATTGAGCTTAGTCTCCTCGACTTCACTTTTCTAGTAGACTATTTTAGATTGGATTTAATTTTATTGGAAGTGAATTGGGCTTAGTCTCCTCGAGTTCACTTCTCTAGTAAGGGGTGCTCTAATTTGAACAGATTTGTACTGCAATATAACTTGAGGTTTTGTTGTTTCTTGGTAGTGAAAGGGATGTTATTACTTATTACTGTGATCTCAGGAAGATGCGAACGTCGCTGTGTTATGGCAAATCAATAAAAGCATCTTCTCAAGTTCTGTATGTAAGCAATGGTTTTGTACACTTTGCCCCCTATATTACTATCAAGAACAAAAGCTTTCAATTAAAAAGGGAATAAAATATTTCTAAATCGTATTAAATTGAATATATAATAAAATAATTAAAACTAATAAATTTATTACTGGGAAAAAAATTTAACTCAGTGTATTTCCAATAATTTCCATGTTCAGATATTTTAATCTCCCATGAAATGCTTCACAATCAAATTGTGTATTTGCATATTTAACCAATATAATAACAACAAACAATTAAACAACAGAACAGGATTGCACTCAGATAAAAGCCATACAGAGCACCAAAATAGCTTCAAGAAATAGTAATAACTATACAAAAAACTTCTGCTGGGCTTCCTAAAAACTGTCAATAACATTACTTGTAAATGGAAATGGATATGGCAAGCACACAAAGAGCCCAAGTAGCAAAACCATTATCCCAAGGGCCTTATACTTGTCGTCAGGGCCCGTGACTTCTTCAGAACAAGGCGCTATTGGGCCTCTTTGCAGGAAGAATATCAAAACAACCCAGTAAAAAGCCACGTCGCTGAACAATGAGGCCAGCCCAAGAAGCACGATCGAGGCTGAAGTAAATCGAGATGAGGCCTGCGCGAAAAAATCATCTCCGTTGCTCAAGTTAGTTAGTTTCCATTGTTCAGTTTGGATATTGTAAAAATGTACCCCTGAGGATTTGGATATTTACCTTTCTTCCCCAGATGGCAAAAGAAATCCGGCCACCGTCAAGCTCTCCTGCAGGAATGCTGTTAATAGCATTTATGAGAAGCCCGGCCCAAGCCCACATTACTAGTGGATTCACCGATAATGGGGTGCCTTCTTTCAGAATATCACCAAGAAGTAGCTTAGCTATGTCCAACACACACACAGAGAGAGAGAGAGGAGAGATTCAGATAGTAAACTCCAAATAATTTGAACAATCATGCGAATTAAATTTTGAATCGCGCTAAAAAAATGATAACCAAAAGAGTTTTAGGATCACAAACTAGAGTAACTTAAAAGGTTTCACTGCAGAAACTAAGGTTGTGTTTGGCAACCAAATAAGCTATAAGATAGCTTATTTGGTTAACTTACAAGTTTCTTGTATTCAAATAAGTTTCGTTTGGTAGAACGAGCTTATCTCATAAGCTTCTTTAGGTAGCTTTTCAAATAAGCTCGTTGAAAATTTTATTTCAACTAACTTATCAGCTAATTTTACCAAATACTTTTATTATATAAGCTAGGTTTTCAGCTATAAGTCATAAACTATAAACTCGAAAATCAATTATAAGCTATAAGCTAACTTATCAGTTACCAAACATAGTCTAAGGTTAAGCTAGTAAGGTTTCCGAAAATTACAGAAAGTGGGTCGTTACATTCCAAAGTCAAAAGACTCAAAACTACTCCCCTTAACGTAGTTAAAGTCATAATTTTTTGGAGATTTTTGCAATTAGGCTTCGCCTCAAGAGCTGTTTGTAATTGTTCTATATTTAGAAGTAAGATTTCTCTCTGTNTCTAATTGTTCATGAAGGCAAGAGAAAATGTACCTATACCACCGACTAGAAGTGATTCATGAAATACAGCAGGATCGATAACAAGACCAAGTTTATCAGCCGGAGGCAAAACGAATCCCACAAGCAAAAGCACGAGTCCCAAAGCAAACCCTGCTGAAGGACCTGCTGCTGCAACTTTCAAGAGATCTTCACGTTTTGGCACGATATTGCGAATCCTTGTTATAGAACCGAATGATCCTATCTGTCACTGAAAAGCTCATTAGCCTTTCTATGTGGGAACCAAACTTCTTCACACTATGGTAGATCGAGAATTATGTGCATACATTTTGAAAAATGGAAAGTGGGAACAGAAAATTGAAGTACAATTTATAAAGATATTTTAATTTTTATATACCATTCTTTTAAATTAACAAATATGACCCAACACACTGTCACCTTTATTATTGACATTCAAAAGATAAACTAAAACCTCACCTGCCAACTTGGCACAAAGTAAGGAACTCCAAGCTTAATTCCAGCTTCTTTAGCCACTAGTAAATGGCTGATTTCATGTACTCCCATAATAAGAGCAGTTACAAGAGCTCCAGGAAGCCCGTTTTTCAACAACTCGACATTGTCAAATACTGATCTGGAAACAAGTGATCGATTAACAAATGTTATGGCTAAATCATATTCATTTCACACTTTGAAACCGTAGGTAAATTTTCTGATCATGACCATAAATTCAATATTACTTCACAAGTTTCAGGTGTTAAAAAATATGCAGTAATGCACATAAAGATTAAAAGAAATAAAATCATTTTAATAATACTCACAATATATTGGTCTGTAGTTCTGGAACATTACGAAGAAGTAAGGTGAATACAGTGACTAATCCGAAAGCCCCAGCAGCAAACCATTCTGGAACAACTGCATTACTCAAACAGGAATTAACAGATTACTGATGCAATAATTAAAATTTCTAAACCATTTAGTAGGAAAAAAAACTTTCAAAAATCATTGATAAAGTACCAGTGGTATCTGGTTGCAATGTCTTCCTTGGTACAACAACAGCAACAGGTTTATCATCCTCTGGATTAATTAGAAGGAACACTTTATACAGATCTTCGAACTTGGTCTGCATATAATATGTGAAAGTCATGTAAGCAATAATATGAGAACCTCCATTAAAATTCCCCATCTTAATTGTAAGCTACAAACGCACTAACTTTCATTCTTCTTGTAATTTTCTCGTAACTTTTTGCAGCTTGCCCTCGTAGATTTCCCTTGAATAATATCCCACCCTATAACAAAATAGTGCTAAATCAGATTATCTTTATATTTAGTTACCACATGCTAACATAAAGATTACAGGCTGAACTCACTTCATATGGTTCTTGGCTGGTCACAAAGAACGTGTCAAAACCAAACACTTGGTCCTTCAGAATATCAATAGTTTCCTTCGGGATTCTGATTGATTCGGCAAATTCCTTCTGCTGTTCATAGAGTATTGAGGAGAGACCAAAGGCAGGATATTTAGCAGAGAGAGAGAGAGAGAGAGAGAGCAAACGGCTAGAACATAAGTTATTCTACATTATTACCACCTTCACACCTGGAAGTGGTGACCCACTTGCAACTTGATCATCTTTAACATCCTGTTGATAAGGTAAACAGAATGAAAGGAGGATATTCAGATAAAACTTAAAAAGAGGCACATGAAGAAGACGAGACTTGAAATTCTACAGTCGACATATTAAGTACTTTCAACACAGACTTCTCGACACAAAAGTTCCTATATTAAGTTGTTCGCCTCAGCATTTTAACCACCAAAACCACATGAACCAATTTGTAGAACAGATAAGACACAGAATAATTTTGTAACATAAATAGAAACAAAACTAGGCCAGAAAATGAAAAAGTTCTATGACGCGAAAATGTAAAATGAAAAAATTCTGTGACGGTTAAACCAAAATGAGAAAGTTCTACGAGGGGTAGCCAATCAGACAACACTATCATAATCGAACCACATACATCTAGCATACCTCAAATTTGACCCCGGCATTTGTTTCTCCATTAGTGTCACTATTCACCAAGCTTTTCGACTCAAGAGACTGATCATTAACCGAATTCTGAGAACCTTGCTCTGAACTATTACCGGAACTCAAACCACTCGACACAACTCCTTCGATTTCTCCATTTATGTTCCTTTCCTTCAAAATTCAGGTCTCATTTCAACCACAACACATAACGGCCACAAAACAACAGGAATGAAAAGGCATTTTACAGGACCAAAAATATAACAAAAAATATAATACTACCTCGTCATTGTTAATCTCCGGCTCCGCCTCTGTCTCGTTCGCTCTGCAAACGACCTTCAAGTTGCTCCTGAATGAAAAAACTAACTGAACTAAAAATAGAGAGAGACACAATAAAACTCTTAGCTGCATGAATTCTAACATCATGAACAGAAACATCAAAACTCGAAAAATCACCTCAGCGAGCAGCGAGAGCTGAATTTCCAGCTCGCAATGGCCGGACAAGATAAACGAACGCCGCTGCACGAGCCGCACCGCGGCAGATGAATGACCGAGTTGCCGCCAAAACTCACCGACAAATTCATCGCTGCAGAAAACCCTCGAAATTTCCGGTCAATCGGATGCTGCAAACATGGAATTGGGAAGCAGGGATTGTTCGTAAGTACCCAGAAACACAAAATTTCAAGAGATTAGCTTCAAATATTGAATGGTAATTCGTGAGTTATGAAGATGGAGTTTGGCTACTGAGAAAAAAAAAAAATCTTATCTTTTTGACGTGGATTATCAGTTCAGAGGGAAATATATTTAGGCGCCTAAATCTAAATTTTATATGAATCAGCTAATGTGATCCAAACACGCGTCATTGTTAGCCCCGACCTTATCATTTTTCTTGGGTCAAAATTCGTAAAAATCCTTATGCGTCTTTATAATTTTTTAATTTTATGAATAAAAGTTTGCAATTACATTTTTTTTTTAATTAAAACTCAGAGCTTTCATTTTTTTCAAATAAAATCACCCGATCAACTTGGATATTGCACTATTACGGGTGCTGAACTATGGGGGCTTTATCAGGGACTACATCTCGCTTGGGAGAAAGGATACCGCCAAGTTATAGCGGAGGTCGATAGTCTATGCGCCGTAAACATGATCCTTGGAACTGAAAATAATTTTGGGGCACACGAGTCAATCGTGAAGACAATACGCGACGTGAGTCAAAGGGATTGGACCATTCAGATTCGGCATGTGCACAGAGAAGCCAACTTTGCGGCAGATCATATGGCTAGCTTGGCAGCAACTTTTCCGATCGGACTTGAGGTGGTGTCTACTCCGCCACCTGGGTTGGGTCGCTGGCTCGAGCACGATATCATCGGGGTGTGCTACCCTCGACAAGTCCCAAATTAACTATTAGGCCTTGGACTCCTTCTTTGTACCAAAAAAAAGGAAAAAATGACACGTCAAAAAATATTAAAAATAAAAGAAATATTAATATTTGGAAAAAGTTAAGTAATCTTAAATTCTCGAATCTCTCGTGCATGTCATCTCCTACTCTCCACATCAGATAACGAGCAGGACACGTAATCATTTGACACTCAGTTTGTTGACTGCGTCTTAAATTTGCAAAATTCGAAAGCTCATAACTTTTATTGTCAAAATTTGAAGGTTCAAATTATACAATAAAATAAATGTTAGGGATTTAATTTGCACTTTAACTTAAAGAATACTGTAAATATACCCCGTATGTTTTTTTTTTTATTTATTTATTTTTTTTTNCCTCTATTTCGTTCTATTTCATTTAATTTATTATTTTTTAATCCTGGCAATGTCATTAATCTGGAAGTTCCTTGCAAATTCTGTTCTTGCAAAATTTCTCATATATTTAGCATTCACCCATTTTAAGAATTAGACAAATGCCACTTATCTTAAGAATTAAGATCACATTTAAACTGAAGGGTTTGGATTTCATGGGATGGTCTATTTTGAAATTATTTCGAATAAAACAAATAGATGCAAGAAACCCAATATCACTAAGGCTTAAAAGTCATAAACAATAGTTCAAAAATCTGAAATTCATTGAAAATCCAAATATTACAACAGAAAGTTCACACACTCTGCAACCAAACCATTCTTCAATCTGAATTCTGAATGCAATCTAAACAACTTCATAATAATGTTCCCCAAAAACAAAGTTGCAGCCACAAAAAGTGAAGATAAGATTACAGAGCTCAAAGTCAAAGCATTTTTCATCCAAGACTATATTTTTTTTTTCACTACATTTATTTACAGAGCTCAAAGTCAAAGCATTTTTCATCCAAGACTATATTTTTTTTTTTCACTACATTTATTTACAGCCAGTTTAAGGATCATCAGGTCTCAAATCCCACCTCGATTTTCTTTTCGTGCAGGATGATGGCTTTAGGAATACGAAATCATTGTCTTCCTCTTCATCACTGTCAAGCCAGCCGTAGCATGGCTGGAGCCTACGTGGCGAGTGGCCTTCGGGTTTACTTTCTTCGGTTTTTTCGTGCTGTTCAGTTTGTACAACGCTAGAGGAAGTCCCGGCTTCAGATTGCTCCTCCAAATTCGTCTCCTAAGAATAGAAATGTACGAATATAATGTGGACTTGAGCAAATAACTTTTGCTTGCATGTAAATTAAAGTGTCGAAAACAATATTCAGCAATGCCTTTCGAATCGTAAAGAAAATATTCAGACACTGTTTATTGTAGAATGACTGATGATGGTGTTTCTTCTTACTGTTGGCTCATTTGACAGAGTCAAAGGTTTTTCAACCAAATCTATCGTCTTAAGGGATAGAGAATTTGAATTGAAGTTGCAACCAAAAGAAATGTAGGCTCGTTGGTTAGTAGAAAATAGGGAAAAAGAAAAAATTGTTCAAGCACCATGTTCTTAGCAAGACAAAGCTACATAATGAAAGGACTGCAAAGAATTTTGAGTGTCACAACTAGTAAATGACACTTTTTTAAGCTCAAGTTTTCAGTTATATCAGTCCAAAAAATGCACAGCTGAAGCGGGAAATCATATGATTTACAATAGATCATGCGAACACGATAATTCACTGAAATACAACAAATAATTAGATTTTTCATTGCTTGCTCATATACTGATTTTATCAGGTACTCAGTAAGACTGCTCCACGTCAGCTTTCTAGAGTTGAGATAAAAGAGAAGTACATTTTCAAAAAGATTAGAAGAGTAGTGATGAATTATCTAAATGGTTCGAATGATAGTTCTTTCCAAGGTTTGACCAAAGTTTTCATTTAAACCTGAGAAAACTCTAAACAAAGTCACTGCAAAACAAGTCTCAAATGATAAAAAGATGTGGAGTCATCACCAAACTTCTCAACTTTCCAGAACTTTCAGATTCCAAGTAAAAGCCATCAAATAGTTCTTAGTTACGAGCACAAAACTTTTGAAAACCTCTTGGTTGAAATTGCCAGTGTTCCTTTATTTAGTGCAAAAAACTAAGATATTTTTACTCGAAATGATCATAGACAATCAAGAAGTTGAATTAAACCAGAAAGTCCATATCATCAGGACAAAGACACAAAGTCAAACAAAATGACACACTTCTCATGAGCAATTTATGTATTATAATTCACTTATGCTACAAACATCAAATAGTATCACATCAAACAAAAGTTAATCCGAACCTCATCATAGTAAACTCGATTAACGAAAGCAAACATGCACTAATTGATAAGTGAATATACCTTCGTATCGACTGCATTACCATCCTCTTCATTCACATCCCGAAGCAAGGCTTCAATGAGTTCCTTGTACGCGTATTCCTCGATAAAAGGCCATCCGTCGTCTCCTCCATATACCTTATTTAAATAGTACATTATGCACACGAGTTACTTCATTTTCTATGCCTCAAGATGCCAAAACACTATAAATTGCATGAATATTATGTGTACTTATGCACATACTAAACAGACAGGTATTATGGTAACAAGATAAAAATCATTACAAATTTGTTATTATAACCCATCAATCTAATTCAAAAACACACACACAAACAGCAATTGCTTTGTTTTCTCCTTTTGGGCTCCACATCCAGAGCCCACTTGATTTTCTCAAGAGTAAAACAGATTACAGTGTAGGACTTGTAGTTGTAGCACAAGAAAATAAACACTTTTAAGAGATGAAAATCCCAAAAAAAATGCTATTCTAACTTACAGGCATGTATCTAAAGAGAAAAATATAAAAATGTAAAATCAACTCCAACGAAACATTTGAAATTTACTATGTTGGTTCAATGTACTCAACTAGCCTGTCCGATATAAAATTCAAAAA